TTCAAAATTAAGATAAAGGCCTCCTATGGTTCCTGAAAACCACACGCTAATTGGTAAAAATAGAAAAAGAGTCAAATATAATCAAAAGCAGGGTATTTCATATATAGTTTATATATTCAAATATTACTGAAAAAAAACACATTCATTTTTAAATCTTACTTCACTTTTTCTTAACAGATACACTTCATTAAAGTTTTCTGTGTGTTTTGTAAAGTAGAATCAATCTATCATATTTTTACTTAAACTGATACGTGAAAAATGCTAAGCTAAGGGTAAATAGGTAAAGACTAGACTAGTCCAGAAGTTTTCTATTATAAACCTGTATTTAAGACCTAAGGAAAGAAAAAGAAAAAACTGCCTAGATCAGCACATTAAGAGAATCAAAGGCATCTACGACATATACTTTATAACTATTTCCTATAATATATACTTTATAAATGGCTGTGTTTTTCAGAATAAATTATAGGTTCTAACTATTCTAACCATTTTAAGAAAACATCTTTTTTAACAACTGACATTTCTTAGCTACCTAAGTTTAAGGAAAGGATTTTATTTTTCCCTGCTCTAAATCTTCTACAATAAATTTAATTTCTTATCTTTAAGAGATCTTTTAAATCTATTACATTTTTGGTAACTAGTAACTAAAGCAAGTAAACAACCATGTTTATTAATAATCCTTACATACTTATGGACATTTTATAATTTTCAAAGCACTTTCACATGCACCAATTTAATAATGTGATTCTCACAACAGCCCTATAAGTTAGATATTATTGCCATTTTAACAAATGGGTAATTTCCCCAAGGTCACAGAGCTTGTACCCAGAAGAGAAGATACCTTAACCCCAACTTTCTGGGTCCAAATCCAGTGCTCTCTCCACTTCAACATTCTTTGTTTCTTAAACACTAGTAAATGCAATAGGAAACTTAGTTGCTACCAGCTCCTAGTAGAAAAGAAATCATCCCACCTGTGCAATTTCATTATAGAAGTTGTTGAACTCTCAACTAACTGGCAAGCTCTATTGCCCAGAATATGCTATTCTCCACATGCCAACAGTGATACTACCCTAATACTATTTGTTATACATAAGACTTGCACACCTGAGATTAATTACCTGGTGTAGTGGGATCTGCTTCTCTTCACATGCTTCACACTAACCTGGCTAAATTCACTGGGTTTTTGATTTAACACAATAAAAAATTCAAGCCATGGCTAAGAAGGTTCTTGAATGTTACAAGCCAATTCCATGCTTTAAGTTTACTAAAATTTCTTGGAGTAAGAATCATACTATTCCATAGTACTTGGCCCTAATATGCAAGAAATTTCCATATTAAATTCACCTACATTGACAAATTATTGATGAAACATTAAGAATAAAACTATATCCCACAGTAGCTTATTTGAGTATTTTTTCCTTCCTCGAATGCAAACTCATCCTAATGTCAAATATATTTTTACAAAACCATTCACCTAACTTGGCAAACAAATCTGCATTTTGCTATTTTTAGTCACCAAACAACCAAAGCATAAAAACTACTCAACTTGTAAAGATTGGGTGTGTTGGTGAATGGATATGAGAAAGAGTGAAAACAATCAAATATATGAGTAATAAAATTACAGCTACTCTCCATTATCTGAGGGACAGTGAGAAAAATGTTAAAAGAAAAAAATGGCCAGATTAGAAGCCACAGCTGTTAGTATAAAAATGTAACCAAAGCTACGTCTTCTGAAGACTGTTATAAAGTAGAACTCATTATCAATCCCATTCCAGCCATGCACTGCCCCATGAAAAAAATGAGTAGAGCAAATTTATAGCTAGGTTTCTATTTCATATCATTCACATTATAATTCATTTGAGACTCCTAAGATCCAGAAAAGATAAAAGATTTGGAGTATGAAGTAGAATAAAGTCTCACCTAGGATATCCTGAAGGATTTGCTCAATAACGAAAAATGGTTAAATCAACAATGGTTAGAAAGGGTAGGAACCAATAACAATGAAGATTTAAAAAACTGTGTTGTAGATCATGAGGGGTTATGGACTTATTTACTGATAATGAATGAGAACATAACAATATTGTTGCTACTAACAATGATGGCTAACATGTACTGCATCCTTACTATGCCGGTCCCATGTTTACATGCATTCTCAAAGTACCTGTGAAGTAAGTATAATTCCTACTTTCCAATTGAGAAACTGAGACTTAGAGAAGTTAAGTACCTTGCCCAAGGTCACAAAAAGCATACATAAGTCCTAGAGAAGGGATTCAAACCCAGGACTGCAGAGCTCTGCCTCTTATGATATTACAAAAATGGTTCTCAACTTGGACCACTCTTGGGACATGAATGTCAAGCCATGAAAAAGTATACAAGGTTATCCAGTGCCCAGCATAGTGCTTATCACACAAGAGGATGTCCAATGTCTGCTGGATGAAACATATTCCTTATGTCCCACAACTGAATCCTCGTGTTTGAAAGAACGCGGTCATCAACAACTTCCAGAAAGGTAGTTTTTTGGGTGGCAAGTAGAACCAGATTGAGGGTAAAGAGTGGCAGTGTACCAAACATCTAAGGACCACTCTGCGAAGTCTGATCTAAAGCCAAAAAAGGTACTTGGTAGATGAAGTTTGGTATGCAAGGTTTGACTCTAACATGACAAACAAACAGAGAGATACTAAATTGCCACTTAAACTATAACTTGGATAGTGCTAGACAACATCTTGAGAATTTCAAGTGCTTCTCTCCATTCTGAGTAATCAAAAGAGGTTCAAGAACAAGATACAATGAACACATTCCTGAATCAATCAAGGCTAGACACAATACTGACCAAAAAAATTCAGCAATAATTCAAAGAAAGGTCTTAGGTCCTACTCCCCTTTAAAATGGCTTCTGCTTATTAAAAAGTTTAGTTTACTGGGTATCAAAATATAGTAATGAGGGGAGAACGGAGAGCATCAGGATAATTTCTAACCAAACAACTTACACTGCATTCCTAGAACACTCTTAAGCTCTTCACTGCTTTGGAACCTTCACACACACTATTCCCTCTGCCTAGAACCCTCTTGCAGTAGAAGAGGGTCAGCTTTTCAGACAGGCCTTCTCTGAACATCTTACCAAGCAGACTGCCCTCCCCCTATTATCTTCTCTCACAAAACCCAGCCTGCCACCTTCATCACTTTTCTCAATTAGAAGTTCTTCTTATTTACCTGCGTAGTCTTTCCTCCCCCATTCTCCCAGAAGGGTAAACTCCATCACAGATAAGAGTGTCCAATTCACTCTTCTCTATAAATTCAGCACTAGAGTACTGTGCCTGGCATGTGGCAGATGCGCAATTATTTTCTGAACCAAAAAAAATAAATTTATACAGCTTTCCAAACTGTCAGCCTTCCCATTCCCATCCCCCCTCAAAAAAAAACCTTGAGTTATTTTTATAAACCTTGTAAGTCACCCACTTTGGACAAGCAATATAATCCTAAATTGTCATTTTGCTGTTTCATTTCCCCCTACCACCAACTAGACTATAAAGCTGTACAACCAGGAAACCAATCCTGTACTTCATCTGTATGTGTTGTGTGGGCATCCAATAACCAATTCGATTTAAATTAATTATCTTAGGGCTTACACAGAAAGTGTCCTCTGAGCTCTGACATCATCCTATGTATCTATTACTGTTTTTTTATGTATATTAAAATTATCTCACGTGGAGGGGAACAAGGTTGTAAAGATTAATAAAATCCTGTCTCTGCTTCCTGAATCACAGCATGCTCTCATAAACATGAAATATTCAATAATCTGTTGAACTTAACTAAATACAGGATGCCTTTTAGGAAGAGTTTAATCAAAAAGTAACCATGGTCACACTGACTACCAAGAGTATCCCGGCAAATTCTGTTAATAATTCAACATAAGCAGTTTGCTAAAGTTGTCAAAAGATTTCTGAGATTCCCTGTTTTAAAAATAGCACTACTACTCAAAATTCCCCAGTAAATTTAAGGAAACGGTCCCTAACGGGCTTGGGCCTGGTATTTTCACAACACCCCCCGTCAAAAGCCATATAGAGCTAATAAGTATTCCCAGTGGGGAAAGCCATTAATTAGGAGAGCTGCCTCAGATGTCCAGACACTACAGTATCACTTTGACCCCTGCCTTCCTATTTCCTGTATCTGTCCATTTAGACTGAATTCAATCGTCGTCTTCTATTATTTTTTTCTTTTTCTTCCCCCCACCCCCTCCCCGCGCTTGCTATGCTAACACAGAAATCCCTGGTCTGGAACAAAATGCCCAGGCCAATGGCTGTCTGCCTACCTTACAGGTGGCACAAGCATGAGCAACCGCGCGCCCCCCACCCCCGCCCCTTTCAGAACACAAAACCCTGCAAAAGTTGAAAACGTAGGTTCCAAGAAGACCCTGGAGCCTAGAGGTCAGCTCAGTGGTCCGGCTCCTGCGGCGTCCTGGCGAGAACCAAGATGGCCCTGAGCAGGGCCCACTGCGGCTGCAGGGAGCCGCGCTGGGGCGGCGGGGCCGAGGGGCGCCGGGGCCGGGGCCGCCGTCTCCGCCGCCGCCTCCTACCTGAGGCGGCAGGGACCGGCACCGAGGCCCGGCGGCGCCTCCTGCCCCGCAGCAGCCCCCGGCCAGCGCGTTCCCGGAAACGGAGGCCGGGCGGGCGCCAGGTAAGCGGCGACCGCGATGGGGGCGGCCGCGGAGGCGGTCCCAGACCAGGTGGGCCCCGCGGGCCAGTGGGGCGCCCGGCAGGGCCGAGGGGCCGAGCGCAGGCAGAGGCCGCGGCCCGGGCCTGTGCAGGCCGGAGCCCGAATCCAGGCCGGGACGGAGGCGGCCGGCAGTGGGGCGGGAAGCCGGGAAGGAAGGAGAGAGGGAGACGCCGCCGGCCCCAGAGGCTTCCTCAGCCGGGTCCGGGGGCGTCCGCGGCGGCTGGGGCAGGCCGCGACGACGCCGACGGCCGAGCGAGAGGACCGGGGTCTTGGCGCGGCCGCGTTTCTTACCCTGCATGCTGCTGACGGCCGGGTGGCCCGGCGCTGGGGACCCTACGGGGCCCGGGGTGCCGCTGCTGCTGCCGCCCCCGGAGCCGCCGCCGCCGCTCGGGCTCGGAGCCGCCATTGTTGGGAGTGAGGAGCCGAGCGGCGCCGCGGCGGCTGCAATGCAGCAAGCTCGGCCTCTCGCACGGCCGAGGGGCGTGGCCTGTGCCCGCCTTGGGCCCGCCCCGACACGCCCCGGGCCCGCCTCCGGACACGCCCCGAGCCTGACGGGGAGCCTGCCCCAGACGAGGAGCGCGGAACCGCCCGGGTGCGCGACCTGAAAGGCAGGCAGGATTCCTGGACCAGGGCTGCAAGTCCGCGGAGCCTGAAGGGATTTGCAGCATCAGCAGTGCCTGTGCATTTGCGGGGAAAGAGGGCACACAGCTTCATCATTTCCACGGAGGTACGTGACCCCAAAAGTTTTAGAATCCCTTTTTGGAATCTCAGAACCCAAAATCAGAAAAGTAAAGCTGAAAGAGATCCCAGAGGTCATGCTTCTTGTCCAGTCTCTGACACATCGCTTCCAGAGGGGAGTTAGCTATAGCTTTGGATACAGTTTGGAGCTCCTATTAAACCCTGCCTAATAAATACCCCAACCCTCTACACCTCCCTGCGGGGAGGGGGAGTCTCAGGGAGGTGCTACCCGAAGTGCTGTTCATGGACCCATCCCAAAACTACTGAATTAGTGTCTACATTTTAATATTTCCAGGGAATTCATATGTACACTAAATTTGAGAAGTATATCTTAAGCACCCAACTCTCCTGGCCTCCCAAAACTATCTACATCACCATTTTCACCTACACACATGCTGGATTCCTTCCCTCAAATCCTCTATATGTTATGTAAGACCAGCTATAGTCATTATTGTAAGTTACATAAAATGATAACCCTAAAAAACAATATCAGGTTTCTTTCAGTGCTTTGCACAAAGACTTTTATTTTAGGAAGGCATCAGCTAAAAGCGGAAAAATAGTCCTCTATGATGCTAGGGGTTTCTGGGCCAACTGCAATGTACTTGGAATGCTAAGACATGAGTTTCTGGACAGTCTTGCTGCCTGTAATAGAATGATCAGCTACCTACATCACAAAGAATCTAAGCCATGGAGTTGGATGTTTTCTGCCCTTTGGAAGCATTGTACAATCTATACTTGGACATCCTTCTCAAAACTCCTTCCACTTAGACCTTATCTGATGCTGGACTTTCCTCATAGCATGTTGCAAATGTGTTCCAGGTCAAATTGGCCCTGCCTTCTTGCTCCAAACTCAACCTCATCCATCACCTCGATCGCTTAGCTTCTAACAGTGACTAGCCATAAAGGGCAAGTGGGAGGCAATACAGGCAAACTGAAGGTGACTGCAGGTAGGTATACTTAAGTGGAGAGGCTTCCAGAACTCTCCTCTGAGGGCCTAGCTGACTGAGTGATATCTCCAGGTCATTATAAACATTGCCAAATCCCCGCTCTGCTCTTGTTGGTCCTGGGGCATCCTAAATGTGATGTTGTTGAAGGGGAAATCTTATCAGAACCAGACAGGAAAAGTTCCTATCCAAGTTTTTCAGCTCAGTACAGGCTAAATATTCTATCTACATCTTCTTCATAGTGCTGACGGGAAGATGGGAAGAGATACAACGAATGACAAAGAAAAGGAGAAGCCGTAGTGGCTCCCTAATATTCTCTCCTTTTAAGGTGCAGGTTGGATGCTGGCTTTCTTTACTTTAGGGTTTATATTTTAATGCCTAGAGGAATATCAAACATAGAATGAAATACTTCTTTCAAAACATCAACACAACTTGCCAATGATTAGAAAAGATGGATGCAGAAAAATAGGGAACCTCCCCACCTCAATAAAATAATTTTGTATTTTATTTGGCTTGGCTACTTTGACATACAGGAAAAAGGCTTCCACAGCCTTGTAGTTGGCTGGCAAATGTCCCAAATGTAGTATGCTGTCATCACCAAGCTCTCAATGCAAGATGAACAGATAACCAAACAGTTCTATTGTAGTAATTTTCTGACACTTCATTCCAGTACCTGCCAGTAGGGTTCCTAACCATTTTTGGTTATCTAAATGCCATTGTTGTATGTGCCTCATTTCTGTTTTCCAGTTCCTTGGGTACTGGAATGGTACCAAGAAATGGCTTAAAGGACTTTTAGTCTCCCCACCCCCATTCTTTGATGTGGACAGTTGATATATCGATTATGTAGAGGGCTACAAGCC